TCTTAATAAGTCAATGTTTAATATATGCACCCTTGTTAATACTTTACGCATCTTTGGCACTTTGCTTTGGGCTTATAACGTATTGTTAAAATTTGAATGCCCTAGCACTAATTAGTGCTAGGGCATTCAAATTTTAACAATACGTTATTTCAATGGTTTTTCGTTTTTTTGGGGGGACACCCTGCATAATAGTGTTGTTATGGTATACAGGGTGTCCCAAAAAAAAGTGACACCATAGAAATTATCTCATAGTTGTTCTTAAGCCGCTCTTAAACGCGCGTGATTACACGCCTGGGAATTTAATGAACTTGTATTTACATTTAAGTATTTTAAAACGTTTTCGCTTTGTCCAAATATTTTAACGCCCGAGTCAAGCAAAACGATTACACTAATAAAAGGTTTGCTTTTTTATTTTAAATTCCAGAAGCAGAAGTTTATGCACCTGTGGGATCAACTTATTGCTAGGGCATTCACATTATAACAATAGGATAATTTCTATAGTGTCACTTTTTTTTGGGACACCCTGTACATAATAATGTTATATTTCCATTGTTAATAGTATTAACAGTCCTTGGCTCTTGTGTATTATATTTACCATTATTAATAGTGTTATTAACTGTGAGTCATTCCAGGTTAATATTACTCTAGAAGTGACCACACTTGACTAGGCTTTTCTCGATTGTGCTAGTAAAAGTAGCATAATATGCTACTAGCAGTTCTGGTTTAATGTCTAAATTATGCTCGAATTATGCCAGTTTTAAAAAATTATACTTGTTTTTTATTATATTATGCTATTCAAAAATATGCTACAAAAGTGGAAAAATCAACGTATTTTGTTATAAAAAGTAAATTTTGTAACTTTTAATAGTCTTTTCTCCTGAACTCAACATAATAGTCTATTCATATGGCTCTATCATCGTCCACAAAATCTGTTGCCCAGACTATATATACAGTTCGTTGATTGTTCTCTGAGTTAACAACTCAACGTTTGTTATATTGAAGCATTACACTTGCTTGCAAATAATCTGATAGTGCATGATGCTGCTGATCGTTGAATGAGGCGTTAAGTATTGAGAAAGCTCTCTCAGCAGCAGCGGATGACGGTTGAACCAGTAGGACTTTCTTAACAGCAGAAGACCAATTGGGAAGTTGTTCTGCGTGATGTTTCCACCATTCGACCTTCTTCTCTTCGGATGAAATTATCACGTCTTGTGCGGCAGCGACATACTGCGGTAGCTCTTTAACCAGGGCGTCAATTGTAGCATCATTGTTAAGAAATGGAAAGATCTTCAAGGTCTTAATTGTTTCGGCTGTGGGTGCTAACCACTGGACGGCCACAGGGCACATTATTCTTGCAGCTTTGAAGGCTGATACTGTGTTATAAAGTTCCACATTAAACTTTCGCAGGAACCATCGTATGGCTGGTTGTACACATTCTTTGGCCCTTTGCTCCAGCGTTTCAACATTTTGGGTTGGATCTTGATTTGCAATGGAGACAGCGACTGCACGTACGTTTGGAAAATGTGGATTCTGGCAAGCCTCGGCAACAGCTTTCAGCTTCTCGTAACAGGAAAACACAAGAGGACCATCACCTTCCAAGTAATATGTAGCCTTCACAAAATGTTGCCCAACGTCAATGGTCACAGCAAGCTCCAGCTTGAGGTCAATTAGGCGTCGGGGATCAGACATGATTGCTTGAAGCTGTGGCACAATCTGTGCACAGAATTTCGCATCTTTTGCCATTTCAAGAAATCTGCCAACATCTCCGAATTGCTCCAAAAGCTGCTGATAAATTTCCCATTTTGACCACCAACGCGTTTCGCTGTGGGATTTTGGCTTTCGACCCGTCAGATCCTGCCATGCTAATTTTGCCTGGTGGCTATGGCTAAACAGGCGTATCCAGAGGTTTCCAAACTGCAAAAGAGTAGGAATAAGCAGGTGATTACCAACATTATCGAGCGTGTGGGAAAAGCAAACGACGTTGAGTAGGTTTGGAAATATAAAGGCTATTCGATTCAATGCGGCTTGGTTGACACTTGCTCCATCTCTCATTGCTGCAAGTAATGAGTTTGCCTTGATGCCATATTCGACTGACAGACATTCGTTCAGAACCCTTGCTAGCTGTTCCGAGTTCACTGACTTTGAGCAAATGTCAATCCGCATAAGACGCTGAGTGTTCAGCCAGTCGTCATTGATGAAGCGAACGATGATTGCAATTGCCTCGCCTTGTCTGGTGCTCCCGTCAAATATTACTGACACTTCTCTTGTCATCTCTGTGCTGCCGGGCGCAGATATTTCTTGCTTTATTCTTTCAGTTTCTTGTTTGAAAGTGAGGGATATATACTGCCCGAGATTGGAACTACCAGTGAGACGATATCCATTCTTCTCTAAGAGAGGTCGTAGTTTGTCAACTTTGTGGATCGGGATTCCGGCTTTTAAAAACTCTTCCACTACTTGCTGTCGGTATGCTCGCTCAGCTAAGGGCAGCGTACTCTCTTTCTGGCTTTTCTCACGACTAAGGGCCTCGGCAATAGTTTGGTCTCTCAATTTCGACTTTTGTAACTGCGCTTTTCCACTTTCGTGTTTTTTGGAAGAACAATGAGAAACTACAATGCTTTTCTTTGACGAAATCACTTCTTTGCAAGCATTGCAAAATATAGCGTTACTTCTAACACACAGATGTTGATTTGGAAATTGATTTACTCGATCTCGTAAACAAATTTTCTTCACGTCAGAAGCTCCCCGGCTCTTGTATTTATTCTTGTTTGAATCTGACCACCGCTCTCGAGCAATTTTTGCAGGTGGTGGCCTGTTTGCACTATTATTATCACTATTTTCCTGTTGCCTGTAAGTTTATATTCAACCTGTAAGTTTATATTTTCCTGAGAGGCTGACGCCATCTTGGATATTGAGTAATGGGGAAATGTGGAGTGTGGACTGGGTCTCATATTAAGGTGATTCAGCGTAGTGTTGTTTAACAATCACTTCCTGCAAGTGTTTGGACAAAATTCGAAAGAACAAGTATAAAGAAAACTAAAAAAATTTTCACATCTTTAGCATTTTGCTCTGAAACTTAGACATGTCTGGCAATTGTCTGCAGATTATGCTAGCAGTGCTTTTTTCTAAAAAAATGCAAAATTATGCTTGTTTACCCAAATTATGCTAAAAAATATGCTAGCACAATCGCGAAAAGCCTACATTTGACTTTGAGTCTAAGAAAATTAGTGACATTAACCTTAGTGACAATCGCATAATAAGTAGCTAAATGTGTGGAGGTAACCCTCCGGGTCACATTATACATATATTGTCGGAGAAATAAGCCGTGGAATGACCCGTAATTTCTTAATTTTTATTAGCTACTATTGGTTGGAGTGCTCAGAAATTGACCTGTTTCATTACAGAGAACTGTTTTCTTAATTTTATATAATTAGAGTATTGTTGTAACATATATGCACGCGTTCGTACAATACAATACGATTTTCATTGTTTAAAAATTATAGTAGTGTTGTGTTCCATTATATATAGTGTTATTTAGTTTTGAATTATCCACGGATTATAAACAGATTTTGAACAACCTAACCCAAAGTTTTGGCCGTGAAGCAGCAATTTCTTGCGTTAGTAACTTCTAGTTCTAAATATTGTGGGACATTTAACTTATCTATCGAATTCAAATGCGAGGAAATACTTTTGAAAACTGCGCATTTATTTATCTATGCTTTGTCCAGATTTACACCTCATTTAGGCTATATACACACGGCACTAGACACATTTTGCCCGGATAAAGTGTATCTTGCATGACCAAATTAAAGCAAAACATTTAGCGAACTCAGTCTACGTTGCAAACTTCGAGAACATTAGTTTCACAAGGGTCTAGTTATTTGTTTATCAAGTCAAAATCTCGAAGGTTTTGAACGTTTAACGATTTGCACAAGATCGAAACTGGGTCACGCAGTTCCTGGTCCACTATAGTGCGATCGTACTTGTTTAAAAAGGCAAGCCATCCGATTGCGCTCTGTCTACTATGAAACGGCCTACAAAAAATGTAAAAACAAAGTAACTAATCTGATTAGAACTTCAAAAGAGAGTTACTTTAAGTCCAAATTAAGTAATTTATTTATTTAACTTCGCCATTATCATGCATTCATGGCAGGGTCACCACAACAGTATATGTTACCAATTACTGTGGGCCCTTTAAATTATAAATAGATAATAAAACACAAATAAAATACAACGAAAACTTTGATTTACCTGATCAAAGTCATCACACGAATTGGAACTTGAAGCCAAGCAAACAAATTCCTCGAAGTTTTCGTTGTATTGTATTTCACAAACATACTTAATTAGCTGCTTGCAAATTTTATAAAACATATAACAATTCATAGATTATAAAATAGCTATTGAAACTTAATAAACAAGGCTAGGAAGATCTGACAACTTTGAAAAATAGATCAAAACAGTAAAGAACCTGGACGTGCACAAATTGACACAAATCTATCCAAATTTCGCTTTTGAAGTCTGTTCGACAACTTGTTTCTTCCAGCACAACTCATTCGACACCCATACACCGAGATCTTTCTCTTGATTAGCAGCGGCAAGTACTGATCCATTCAGGGCGTAGGGATACTCAACTGGTGTTTTCTTCCGTGTGATGCGCTGGCATTTACACTTCGTTTGGTTGAATGTCAAACCGTTATCTGTGGCCCAACCGTTAAGACTGATAATGTCGTTTTGAAGACCAGCAGTGTCATGCAGGTTGTCCACTTGCTTCAGAATCTTCGTATCATCAGCGAAACAAGCGACTTTTGATGTATTCACAGTCTTGGGCAGATCGTTCACATATAAAAGAAAGAG